TAAGCCCTACTTGGAGGTTCATGGGTAGTCATAAGTAGAGTTATAATTCCCCTAATATGGGTTATAAGCATATTTGCCCCACTTCTATCCCCACTTATAACTACCCATGAACCTCCAAGGAAGCCCTAAGCCCTAGGCGCAGAGGATCCCAAGAGCCGAGCCAGGATCGCCACCTTCGAGCACTGAAGCTGCTGGCCTGGCGAGGCAGGGCTCTTCAGAATGGAAAGGACTTATTATTATTATTACTACTATGTTTATTATTATTATTATTGTTGTTATTATGGTATTATTGTTTTTTACTATTAGTATTATCATTACTGTTATTTTGTTTTTTTTTTGAGGGGGTTCTAGGGCTTTAGCAAAGGCCCGACACACTAAACCCTAAACGCCTCAGCCGTGAGGCTTGGGGTGAAGGGCACAGGGGCTGCGAGCTTCGAGCTCGGACGCCCTTCATCCCTTTGGGCCCCAATACAAGGATCTTCATTGAAATAGGGTGTTGGGTGCATATCTGTGGGTGCAGGATTACAGGACTAGAAGGTTTAGAAGGGGATGGAAGTACTAATCATCCAGATCTCTTCTACATTTGAGCTTGGGGCCCCTCAACCCGAAACCCTAATCCCTAAACCCCATAGCCTAAGCCCTAAACTTACAAGAAACTGAAGCCCAGCAGGGAGCCTTTCGCTCTTGTGAGTGTCTTCTTCCTGTCCAACCGCTCAGTACCCGGTCATCTCGAGCCTTCTGTAAAGTTGTCTGATAGCACCTCTACTGCCTCTACAGTACGAACCCAAGAGTTGGAAACCCAATAGCTCCAATCCTTGAGAGTATAATGTATACGGAATCCCAGCACGAATTGTCCATAAACTTCCGATTACTGTCGGTTTACTATATTGAGTCTCGAAGCCAGGGGAATTCCGTCGGGTCAGAAGCAGGGCCTTCCCCATTAGGATGTCTACAACCCCCCCTATGTCGCCCTCTCAGCCCGAAGGCAGCCCTGCTCTTTTCAGGCTGACCCTGGGCATCCTGAAAACCCCGAAGACCCCTAATCCCCCTAGATCTGCAACAGATACCTTTACGGTGAAGGGTTTAAGGGTTTAGGGTTCAGGGTTTAGGGTTTAGGGGGGTTCCATATAGTTGTAGGGGGTGTTTTTATGTCGCTAGGAACGGAGCCCTCCACCCTGGAAGGGGTGGGAGTCCCCTTGGACGGCATCCGGGGGTTGGAGCTGGCACCTGCTTTTCGGGTCACGGTATACCGGAGCCACCCTAAACCCTACCCATAGGCCCCTAGGTAGTTCCTTTTGTGGTTTATATTTAGAATCCTATATGGTAATCCCCAAGAGGAACTACTTAGGGGCCTATGGGTAGACCTTAAACCCTAAACCCCAGATTCGGACGATGCAGAAACGCAGCCGGTTTATAGATTAGGTGCTATGACAAAGTTTTTTAACTTTTGGGTTGAGAGTTCGGATTCTATTATCCATGCAACCACGCACAAACCCCGAACCCTATTCTACACACCCACCTAGTTTAGGATCGCAAGCTCCGGCTCGGGAATTGTGTCATTGCAATGCAGGGCTTTAGGATTCTTTCTATTTGTTGCAGGGCCGTGAGTGGAGACGCTTCCATAGCTGCTAGCAGCCTGGCTTGCAATGCCAGAACATGCTTGTTGGATGCCATCTTCGTGATGCCGGCACCCGTGTTTCACACTCTAAGGACTGCAACTACAACGTTTGCGCCTAGAGTCCTGGAGATCTTTCGAAGCTACCTACCCATAGGCCCCCAAGTAGTTCCTTTTTGGGATTACCTTATAGGATTCTAAATGTAAACCATGAAAAGGAACTACTTAGGGGCCTATGGGTATTTGCCCAGAAAGCCCTACCAAGCCCCGCAAGCCCAACGATTTCTACATCCCTCCCCGACTTCGACTTGCTGTCCATGGGTGGCACCATAAGCGGTGCCTCCTTGTCGAAGCTTCTGCATGCTGTTGAAAGGGATCTCTTAGTTGCTCCAAAAGCCCTTTATCTGCAGGCAGACGTTCTTGGTTACTATTGTTGGACGAATGTTGCATGGACAGCGGGATCTTAGGCAATTTTGTTATTGAGCTCTGTGATGCTGGCTGCAGTGCTGAACCGGCAAATAGTACCACTAGATTTCTGTAATTGTACTTATCTGTCTACCTACCTACCCACCTACCTATCTATCTATCTATCTACCTACCTATCGTTTTATGTTTCTATATATGCACAGATGGAAAGAGACAGGCATGTGTATGGATTGACAGATGGACGGAGGGATGGATGCATGGATGGATGGATGGATGGATGGACGGACGGACGGATGGATACAGACAAGTATGCATGTACGTGCGTATGTATGTGTGTGATGTATGTGTATGTACATGTATATGACATGTATGTGTATATGTATCTGTGCATGGAGCACGCTGGTGACATACATACATACATACATACATACATGCATACATACAGACACACACACACACACACGCGTGAACACACGCACACACACACAGACACACAGACAGACGGAGACAGACAGACTGCCGGACGGACGGACAGAACGACATAAATGAAAGGGCATATTTACATACATAATTACACGCCTGTGTACACGCATCTGCATGCATGCTTTCATGCTTGCCTGTGAGTTTTCATAGAATAAATATGTTTGTGTGTGGTGTGTATATTTGTATACATGCATATGTACGTTTGCATGTGTGTGTGCGCATCCGTAGTTGTACATGTATCTGCATATATATATATATATATTAATATATATATATATATGTATATATGTGTATTATATATATATACATATAATGGATGGATGCGTGGGTGGCTGGCTGGATGGATGGATGGATGCATGCAGAAGATGGATAGATCGATAGATGGATGGATAGATGGACAGATGGATGGGTTAATGGATAGGTCGAAAGCCAGCTAGGTAGATGAATGGATAGATAGATGGATCGATGGCTTGAGTATGCCTAAGGATAGATGGATTAGGCAGACGGAGAGATGGATAGATAGGTAGATATAGATGGGTAAACATACAGATAGGCAGTTCGATCGATTGATCGACACATTACAAGGGTTATCTCGCATTCGAACGATTCTCTGATTCGGATAGCGTTACTGTTTCGTACAGGGCCAAACAGTTGGGGTTTAGGGTTTAGGGGTTTCATATAGGGCAAAAATAATTGCCAATACTATTTTTTTGGGGGGGGGGGGGTTCCAGGCGCCCTAACCCTAAGTCTAAACACCACCTGGAGGTTCATGCGTAGTGATAAGTGGGGTCATATGTCCCCTGGTATGGACTGTGACTATGTCATTTACCCTACTTGCCGATTCTTGAAGCGATCTCCTGACTCCCCGAACTTAGCCCTAAGTCTTCTTGAACTCTCAGGCTGGAACCCAAAACTCCCAAATCCCGAACTCTCAGCCCCCTGAACATCAATGTCCTAGTTTACGGGTGTAGGGTAAGTCCTAAACACCAAGCTCGAACCGAATCTTTTCAACACCCAAAACGCGAAAACTTGGGCTTAGGGTTTAGGGTTACGAGATTTAGGGTTGAGGGGTTTAGGGTTTAGGGTTAAGGAGTTTAGGGCGCAGGGTTTGCAGCTGGGCTCAATCCTTCCCCTCGGTGCTTCACGTTTTCCAAAGTCGACCGACTTGTACGAGGCCTGTAAAGAGCGCATGGGCGGGGTGTCGGGTTTTGGGGAATTTGCCAAACAGCCCTCAAATCCTACTGCAGTTGGTTACACTCCCAAACCGAAGCCTTAACTCTGAGCTTTGTAAACCCTGAGCCGGGTGTGTTTTGCTCGGATTCTGGGAGAATGGCTTATTCGCGCTCTTTGTTCTAATGCATTGTTTGGTAGCTTCTTACGTTCTTCTATACACAGGTCGGCTAAGGAAGTCTTGGGGAGGGTTTGGGGCCACATGGATGCACACAGAAACCCGGCCATAATTCTTGAGAACAACAGTTACTGCACTCTGGTCTGGTTTGGCAAACGAAAGCCTCAAAACCCTATTCATAGGAACCCTTTCAGGAACCCGTATTACCGTTATCGTGCCGCCTTGCAGTATCAGTAGCTGCCGGAGACCTCACTGCTGAGATGGCAGGGTTTCGTTTCTTTAGGACCGAGTCTCAGCTTTATGGAAATGATTAAGGCCTCCACATTACAGCCAATTGCAGCTCATTGATGTTGCCCATAAGTTCAGTTCCCCTTCTTTGTCCAATGCACCGCTAGATGTTGGAGTATGAGCCTAAACCCTAAACCCTAAACCCCTAAACCCTGACCCCAAACCCCTAAACCCTAAACCCCTAAACCCTAAACCCTAAACCCCAAAACTGCAGCAAGAGATGGCCCGACCAAGCGAAGATCCAAGTCTCAGCTTGACGGTCTGAGCTTGAGCCCTAAACCTTTAAAATCATTGAAATCCTGAACCCTCAACCCAAATCGTTTTGGCGATGGGAGTTTAAAGTGTTGGGCTTGGGGGGTTCCCGATTCGCATGCCAATAATTGAGCTATCGCTGCTGCCGTGTTGTGTTTCACATCCTTACTCTTGCATGCCTTGAACCATATTCATACCAAGACCCATACGAATACTGATACAATACTACTGCAATATCAAAAGTTGCCGTGGTAATCAAGGGGCCTTAATAATTAGAATAGGGTTTGGAGCATATTATACTATAAGTATAATAAGAAACCCCCAAAACCCTATTCTAATTATTAAGGCCCCTACATTAGTTGTTTTCCGGACAGTGTGTCAAAGCCTAAGAACCCAAGAGGCCAAGACTCAACTCGAAACCACAGAAGCACCATATTCTCAACCCTCCTTGTAGGGCATCGTAGGGTTTATAGTAGACGCCCCAACTTTCAATAGCCCAACCCTTAAGAGAAAGGTATAGGGAATCCCAACACTATTCGTCCTTAATCCGATTTTCAACTTTTGGGGCTTATTTTGGTGTTCAGGACCATGGGGACCTGCGAGAGCACACCTGCCACAGGGACGGAGATCAAGGTGCATCTCTTCCCGAAGCCCTACATCCTACCTACCGACCTACCTACCTACCTACCTACCTACCTACCTACACGCATACATACATACATACAGACCATCCATCCATCCATCCATCCATCCATCCATCCATCCATCCATGCATGCATGCATGCATGCATGCATGCATGCATGCATGCATGCATGCATGCATGCGTACACACACGCACACATACCTACATACATACATACCTACATACATACATACATACATACATACCTATACACACACATACATACATACATACATACATACATACATTCATACATACATACATACATACATATGCACACATACACACACACACACATACATACATACCTACACACATACCTACACACATACATACATACATACATACATACATACACATACATACATTCACACATACATACATACATACATACACATACATACATACATACATACATGCATACATACATACATACATAAATACACACACAGACAGGCAGATAGACATACATACATACATACATACATACATACATACATACACACATATTCCGCTATCATAAACTGAAATTTAGTAACGCATAATGTGACATAGGATAGTGCAGTATACTATGCTATAGTAAAATACCAACAATATGCTATGATATTGTACAGAATAGTATCTTGAAATACAAGATAATATAGTACAATATAATAGAATGTAATGTGGCATGATATAACACAGAATACAGTGTAGCATAGTAAACTGTAGTACAGCATAGTATACTATGACTTAGGGAAAGCAGTAAACCTACAATCCCAGAACTCTATAAGCTTAGGATCTTTATTCTAGACACCATCCCTCTACCCTAGTGCCAAAGCCCTAAAGCGCTTAGGCCCTTGGATCCAAACCATAAACGCTAACCGCAAGAGTGGCTTGGGATTCTCCGTTCCGTCTTCATAGGGCTAGGGCTTAGGGCAGCAACCCCAAACCCTAAACCCTCAACCCTAAACCTAAAGCTAGGGACGCTCCAGGGAGTTTAGGATTGGGGCGCGGGTCATGCTTAACGGATCCGAGGACTCAGTCCGTCGGGCTTTAGGCAAGGTAACGATCGGTATGGCTAATATAGGGGCCATCAAAATTAGAATAGGGTTTGGGGGTATAGTATACTATAACTATCATAAGGAGCCCCCAAAACCCTATTCTAATTATTGAGGGCCCTACAGTATAGTATACTATAATTATCATAAGGAACCCCCCAAAACCCTGTTCTAATTATTAAGGCCCCTACAGCCCCTACAGTATAGTATACTATAATTATCATCAGGAACCCCCCAAAAACCCTATTTTAGTTATTAAGGCCCCCTACAGTACCTAGAGCCCCAGTTGCGGTCATCTTCTCTCCGGCTTTGGAGCTATGCCAGAAACCCCCGAGGCCTTCATACGGTTGATGGACAAAATCCTGCATGACTTTCTATACCTAAACCATGGGATTTATGGTAATATATTATACTTAGGCCATGCAGAATTTTGTCCATCAACAGTACCACCCTGAAGCACCCCTATGACGCTGAGAACCCTATACTCATAGCTGCCCCCACGACTCTCCCGGTAAGGTGATGTAGACCCATGACTCATGCATCCCCCGATTCACAAGTGGTTATGATGTGGAGGCGAATTTCAGCACCCTTAAGTAGGTTGAGCTGGTGAATCACGGCCTAGCATTAAAAAGATCGAATTCCAGAAAGTCGTCGTCAAGTCATCTAGCACATCGCTCGGCTTCCAAATCTGTACATGTGGTTGTTTGGGCGTGGAACTGTTGGGTTTAGGGCTTTGGTTGAGTGCTGCGGTTGCGCTCGGTGGGAGGACAGGCTTACTGTTGACTTCGCAATAAGTCGACTGGTTGGGAGGGGTTCCCAGCACTACTACGCTCGCTGCGACTCTGGGAGGACTGACAGAAAGTCCTCAGGTGTTCTTGTAGGCACCAGGGACCGGGATTATTATTGAGTTCCCTGGATCGAGTGTTAAATAATTGACGGGGGGTTGATAATAGCTTCCGTGGATCGAGTTTTAGAGTTGAGGGCGGGTCACAATTATGAGATCACCATTTCTTCGTACTTCCCAGCGCTGAAGACCACTATCTTTGAAGATCAGCCCTCAATGAATGATATCTAGACCCTAAACCCGAAACCCTAAACCCTAAACCCTGGCCAAGCCAGGTCGAGAAGCATCCTGCCATGACCGGCATGCAGACTCGCACCGTGCAAAGGTTCGGGTGGAAGCCCGCAGCTCGGCAAGAACCACATGTTAGGGGTTTAGGGTTTAGGGTTTAGGGGTCTAGGGTTTAGGGTTTAGGGGTTTAGGGGTTTAGGGGTCTAGGGTTTAGGGGTCTAGGGGTTTTGGTGTCTAGGGGTCTAGGGTTTAGGGTTTAGGGTTTAGTTGAGGGGTTTGGAGCTTTTTGGTGGGTGTTCCGGGGTGTGGATGCCCTTTAAGCTTCAAGCCCTGAGCCTGAACCTGAAGAAGTAGACCCTAAATCCAATAACCCTCAACACTCATCCTAAATTCTACAAGGTGCTTCATGCAGTGGCGGTTCTTTGCGGGGCTGGGGTCAGGCTATGGCCTACAGGCCCGGGGGTGATTTCATGGTATCTCAGAGCGCTTAAGGAGTTCGCCGGAGCGCGTAGAGTAGACCGTACCGTAGGAATCCTTAGCTATTGCAAGAAGCTTCTTGTATGATACCTGCGCAACCTATCATATTTTTGGGGACCCGCACTACAGGGGCCTTAATAATCATGTTTGGGGGTTCCTTACTATGGTTGTACGCTATATACCCCGCCAAACCTTATTGTAATTATTAAGGCCCCCACTCTCAAGCAGACCTTTTGACGTTGAATCCTGAAGCACGCGAAAACGTGAAACTGCAGGACATGCCGGACCACCGCGACTTGCACGTGAAGTTTGGAGACGTCCAAGCCCCAAGCCAGACACTGGGCACGAAAGCTTCGAGAATCAGGGGTTTAGGATTTAGGGTTGTAGGTTTTGGGTACTGTAACCTATCAGAACCTAGTTTGTTATAGTGCCCCTATACAGTCTACACCAGAGGCTTCATTGTAATACAAGGACCCTACAAAAGTGTCGGTTTAGGAGGTGTACCGTGGAGATGCATATGTACATATATATATATACACACATGTTAAGTTTTCTCATGTATTTAATTAGCTTGATACAACCTTGGTTTTCGGCAGAGCCACTGCGAGTCCATACTGGAGATACATTCGGATACTGCGGTTCCTTGCAGTGGTCTACACAGCGGGAGAATGTATGGGTGTTTCAGTAGCATCCTTATTCGCTTCTTTTGCGGTGCTACCTTAAACGATGCTATAAAAGGAAAAGTGTAACTACTCCATTGATAAGGGGATATGGAGGGGAAACCAGGATTTAGGATAGCACAAGGACCCATATATATATATATTTATTTATTTATTTATTTATTTATGTATTTATTTATTTATTTAGGAATCCTAAGCCTATTCCCTCGAACCAAACCAAAGCTCAAAACCCTAACATAGCGGCCTTAAGAAATACCTATACAATGTTGGGGTTTCCCCTTTTTTTTATCATCATAGTATAATATAACGTAACCCAAGGCCCAAATCTAATAACTAAGGCTTCTACATTACACATATTCGCTTTCAGGGTTCTAGGCACTTAAGGATCGTGAAATCCACATGTTGAACCCCCCCTGTCACGTGCAACAGCCCTAGGCCTTAACAACACATCTGAAAACCCCCAGCACATGCCGTCTTGAACCGAAATTCGCTGCTTCCTTCCATGAAAGTGTCTCGCAGAGTGAAAAGTACTTCAGGGGGCTTGGACGAGAAATTACAGGCTCGATATCTATCTCTTGGTTCATCGTAGGGAACCCTTCTGCAGGATGCCGTTTTGATTTCCGGCATATGGCTCGATTGATGAATGAAACTCTAAGCTCCCTACACCCTAAATCCTGCACGCTGAACCTCAGCACCCTGAACCCGAGGATCAAGAAGAAAGCGGAAGGGCAGAAGGAGCTCGTCGACCTCCGTCCGCAGAATGGCGGCTGAACCTGCACTCTACCCATAGGCCCCTAAGTAGTCCCTCTTTGTGGTTTACATTTAGAATCCAATAAGGTAATCCCCAAAAAGGAACTACTTAGGGGCCCATGGGTAGTGCCTATAAGGTTGAGTTTACTAGGGTTTGGGCCCTCCCCCTCTTGAGCCACTGAGAGGTTACAAGTTCACGCCTTTAGGTGCCAGGTGGCTTTAGGGTTTAGGGTTTAGGGTTTAGGGGTGTCAGGTGGCTTTCCCATCTTCGACCAGGGGCATCTCGGTAGCTGCACGGCAAACGCCTTGGCGGCTGCTTTCCACTTCACCCTTCACAAGATGGAGGTGGAGAATGGCAAGGACATGTGGCATCTTTGGACGGTTAACCCTAAACTACCGTGACTAACACAGGGCACTGGAATTCCTACAAAGACTCATTCAACCCCAAATCCTAAAGACGCTTCTGCAGTTGAGCTGGGGGATGACCTCTGGAGAACAGAATCCTAGCTATTGCCAGTGCCATCAGCATCATCAGCAGCTAGGGTTGGCTGTTGTTGCCACTGCTGCTCTGAATTGTTGTTCTTCTTCCGGGCAGTGTTAATGGTAATGGTGCAGGCCGGCCGTTACTTGGGATGGGAGTGTTACCGGTGCTGCTGCTGCCGCTGCTGTTGCTGCTGCTGCTGGTGCTGATGCTGAAGAGACTGCAGGCGGCACGTACTAGTGCTTGTGTCGGAACACCTGGATCTTGTGGCAGGACTTCGCCGACTTCACTCCGAGCCGCTTGTTCATTTACTATAACGAGCGCCTTGTGGAAGGCAGCGTGAACCAGGATGCTGGGGCGATGATCCGTGATGGCATTAAGGTCATGGCCAAGGTGGGTGTGTGTGCCCTGAGAGTGTTTGGAAGTACGACGATGGCCCCGACTTCTTCAAGCAGCAGCCTGACTCCAAGTCCTACGAGATCGCACAGAAATGCAAGGTCATTGGCTATGCTCGTGTGGCACAAGATCTCAGCCAGTTCAAGGCGTGCCTGAAGAACGGATACCCTTTCGTCTTCGGCTTTGCCGTCCTGTCAAGCTTTCAGACAGAGGAGGTTGCCAGGACCGGCAAAATGGTGATGCCCCAGGCAAACGACCAGCAGCTGGGCGGCCATGCCGTGTGCGCCGTCGGGTACGATGACTTCCAGCAGTGCTTCATCGTCCGCAACTCCTGGGGAGAGGAGCAACCCGGCAGCTTTCAGCACTCTTTTCCGATCGGTTTGTGTGTTGGGGCTTTGACTGCAAATGCTGCTATCGATATAAAGCTCCAGCATGTTCCGTTGAACACAGGTGGGGTGACAAGGGCTACTTCTACATGCCCTACGAGTACATGTGCAACCCCGCCCTCGCCTCTGACTTCTGGGCCATCAACTGGGTCGAGGGCTTCAAGAACGCCGCGACGAAAGATTTCAAGCTGAGCAAGTGATTGGTTTCATGGTCCTGTCATGCGTCGAATCAGTGAGAAGCTGTGCAGTAGACTGGGAGCCCAACAAAAGGTATTCCAAATATCTTCAATTCAGGCTCTGCCCTGCAACCCCCGCAGCTTATCCCAGCAGAAACGGCAAACATAGAACATGCTCCACCCACTCAGACGCTGCACCCGTGTCCCGTAATCGTGGACTCCAAACCTAGAGCGTGTCTGCTTGCAGAAGCAACCAGGGTATCCAGACCACCTTGTTGAAAGCCAGAGCTGCTGAAGCAGCACTGTCTCTCTCTGCCTTCTTGGCACAAGAGCAGCAAGAGCGGAAAACATGGTGGCTTCCTGGCAAGGTTGAAGAAGCAGGGAGGAAACTGGCATAGGGTTTAGGGTTTACGGCTTTTAGGGTACCCTTAACTAACATTTAACCCTAAACCCTAAACCCTAAACCCTTAGCAGTTAGAATAATTAGGGTTCGGGGGTTATAGACAGTGCTCAGCCGGCTCGGGCTGGGGAGTCTCTCCCAGTCGTCAAGAAAGCACGGGGATCTCGAGCGTTCAGTTTCAGATGGGTCGGGTTGGAAACCCAGAGCACCCTAATGTTAGGGCCTAAATAATTAGAACAGGGTTTTGGGGGTTCCTTATTATAAAAACATGGGCCCCAAAACCCTATTCTTGTTATTAAGGCCTTTATATTAGACCCCTTAGCTAAGCATTTATACCTTCTACTAGATCACGAATATGATTTAAGCTTGATTCCTCAATTGAGGGATTTGGGATATTTTCTGTAAATCCCAGGGTGCGATGCGCGGGAGGGTTCTGGGAGTCGAACTTGAAGAGTAAGACTCCAAAGTGCTTGGTGGCCTGGGATGTGTAAAACATAGGGGTCCCCTGCACTTAGCTTTTTGTTCAGAGGGGGAGGAGACGGGGTGGGGGGGGGGGGGGGGGG